GGGGATGGCGCCAGACCAACGGTCGTGCGCGCGGGGCAGGGTTGCGTTAGCGGGCGGTACCTCCTGCACAGGCAAGGCGTGCTAATGCGCCTCCCGACCACCGCCAGCTCAGTGCTCCTGCGGCGATGGGCCGGATGGGGCAGCCCAGGTGACTCCTTGAGGCCAAACAGTCGCTGCTTGGCTCCTGCGGCCCTGAGGGAGCCACTTCTCTCCCAGCACGTACCAGGTGTTAATGACAGGAGCTATCCCTCGACCTGTATGCTGGGCACCCAAATCTCTGTAGTCACTGGGTGGCTCTATTGACACAGTCTTTTCTACAGCCTTGACTCATCCTTTGGAGGACTTTCTCCTAGGTGATTCCCTTCATGCAAAAATCCCTATGCATATCTCTCACCTTAAGTTCTCCTCCCCAGCAAAAGCTTCAGGTGTTCAGCTGCAATCAACGTGATCCTCCTCCCCTTATCTGTGTTATTATTTTGCTGCTAGGTCATGCAGGTGGGCGAAGTTGCCCAAAGTTAGCTGGGGAGGCAATCATAGACTCGCAGAAAGATATCGATGAGAAGGGACTTTGGAGGTCTCTAGTCCAACTCCCTTGCTCAGCTGGGCTGACTCCAAAGCTAGATCAGGTTGCTCAGGGCCTTGTTCAGGCAAATTTTGAACCTCTCCAAGGGTGGAGATTTCCCAGCCTCTTCAGTTGCCTGCACCAGTGCTCAAATGCACTTGAGGGGGAAGCATTTTTTCCTGATGTATATTCAGAATTTCTTTGTTGCAAAGTTATGCCCATTGCCTCCTGTCCTTCTGCAGCGCTGCTCTGAGAAGACTCTGGCTCCATCCTCTTTATAACCACCCTTTTGGCAGTAGCAGCTATTAGACCCCACTCCTCGTCAGTCTGACTGGGAGAGAGACTGACAGTCAATATACTCACATAGGCCTCATTTACTTAGGAAACCAGGCTTAAAATCAGGGGGATTTACTACTACTAGATTCCCCCCTCACCCTTCTCTTTTCCAAGCTGAACAGACCCAGATTCCTCTGCCTCTCCATGCACATCATGTGCTCCAGCCCTCTGACCTCTGCAGTGGTCCTCCGCTGGACTCTTTCCAGTTTGTTCACGTTTCTTTTGTGCTGAGGAACCCATAACGGACAGAGTGTGCCAGATACAACTTTATCAGTGCTGTACAGAGGGGAATAATCGCTCCTCTCAACCTATTGGCTCTTGTTTGTGCAGCCCAGTATGTGGTTAGCTTTCAGTGCTGCAAGGGTGCGTTGCTGGCTAATATACAACTTGCAGTCAGCCAGAATCCTGAGGTCCTTTTCTGCAGAGCTGCTATTTAGCCAATTGGTTCCGAACCTGTAGTGGTGCATAGGATTCTTCCATCCTAGATGCAGTTCTGTCAATTAGGTTACTATGTAGTTGTGGGCTGGGATCAGCTGCTGGACCAGGCCTTGACAAACATCAGTTTTACTTTAAATGTGTTTTTTTCTTATGTCTTCAATTTCCTGCCTATGGTTTGCATAGTGACAAAGGTAGAGATCTGGAGGAGGAAGAGGAAGTAGTCTTGGAAAAAAGCAATTTTCCTGGTACAATGGACAGTACAGCAGAAGATTGAGAGCATACAGAAAACAGAATACATAAGGAATGAAGGAATGGTCTGACAGAAACCTCACAAAGTTAAAACAAAAAAACAAAAAAATGCAATGTCTTGCACCTGGGATAGACATAATGGGTGGCTGTAAAGAAGGCTGAGCCAGATTCCTCTCGGAGGTACACAGTGAAACAAGAGGCGATGGTCCCAAGCTGCTACAAAGGAGATTTCTACACAGAAGGGTGTTTCTCCATGGGAACAGGTGCTTAGAGAGGCTGGGAAATCTCCATCCTCAGAGGTATTAATAAGTCACCTGGACAAGGCCCTGAGCAAATTAGTCTAGCTTTGGAGTTAGCGCTGCTCTAAGTGGGAAGCTGGAGCAGAGACCTCCACAGGTCCCATCCTACCTAAATCTTTCTGTGGAATCTACAGAAGTTAAGAAAAATGGAAACGAGTAACCAGTGTAGTAAGGAAATGCATAAAGAAGGGCAGATCTTGACCTTGTCTTCCAAAAGTCCTTTGAAGGCATGCTTAGAAAAGCAAAGATATGGAGTGGCAGGGCAAGATGGTCATTTTGCAGAAGCAGGGGTTTAAAAACTCTCCTAGGTATCTGACTCCATCAGGTTAGAGTTTACAGAGCTTACAGAACACCATATTTGTTCACCTTAATTGGTCATGGTTAGCCAAGCTTTTTGCAAAGTTCAAGAACCAGTACCAATCGATAGATAGATACTTCCGTGCTTAATTCCATGTTTATATTTTTTTAGCTTGATTTCCTAAGTAAATGAGGCCTATGTGAGCATATGGACTACCAGTACTTTTCCCAGTCAGATTTGACAAGGGTTGGACATATCCAAAGTACCGTGTTTGTTCAAGTTTCATGAAAATGGAAAGCTAGATTGGAAAGAAAGGCCTGTAGGCACCGTAACTGAGGGAATCCACTTCATAGTCCATCTTCCTCCCATATCTGATAAAATTAAATTAACCCGCAGATTTGGCACTTCTGGGATTACAACCTCTTAAAATCTATCCTGCTGGACTTTGCTGTTGTCTAACAAGGGAGCATTCTTATAATTTCATTAAAGAAAAAGTGATGAGAAAATTCATGTAAGAAAGATCATTGAGGGCAGTTAAGTAATAAGAAACAGATACAACTTCTGGCTCAGCAAGTCTCTTAAACTTCGGATTGCCAGAAAATGGCAGAATATACCAGGGAAAGATCACCAGATATTTGCCCCTTTCTTAAACTCCTTCCTTAAATCTCCTCATGTGAGTTCACCTTTGTCTTCCCCTTGCCTTGCCTTGCCTTGCCTTCCCTTCTCATTACTCAGACTCTGTGGCCCATGGCTTGTTAT